TATCCGAACCGAGGCCCTGCTGCTCAGAGCTGGCGTCCCAAGCCAGTTCTTAACCAACCGTGCCACTCGGCCGGCCCTGTAAAATATTTTTAATATACAGTACAGCCTCTGGAAGGGTAAACAGCAAACTGGAGGGAGTGGGTATGAGGGTGGTGAGACTCCTGAAGACTTAACTTTCACATTTCTGTACTTGAATTTTTACACCAGAATGCAGATTTTTTTAAAAGAGAGAGAAAACAGTATTTTTTTAAATCAGCAAAAGCTTCACATTTTTATTTTTATTAAAAATATAGTTAAGTCTGATTTATATCATCCAGCTGTTTATAACATGAATACTTACAATTTGTAATGGACTCTTCAAAATCTCAGTAAGTTTACACTTTAGTATAGAAAACTTTGTCACAGCATTGTTTCCTTGGAATTAGTTGAAGTCATTTCCATTTTACAGATAAGAAAACAGAGTTAAGCCCCTAGACTCTGCTCTTAAGAGCTCTGGGGCTCAAACCCACATCTGATTCCAATTTGAATACTTTTTACTACGATACTACACCACCTTCTTGATAGCTTACTCTACACAGCTTTGCTGCAGACAAAGGTTGCTACATGCAACGAAACATTAATTGGGGATTATAACCTTCTAGGCACATTCAAAGTGGGAATAATTATTGTTTAACAACTTCAGGAGATGTCTCCTGGGTCTATTCATGTTCAGTTACTGAAGGCAGAGGGTTTAAATGCTTTCCTTGATCTTTTGGTGTCCTGGAATGAAGAATGTCAAAGACAAATTTAGTTCTGCCTGTTATTATTATTAAATATTAATATTAAAATATTAATATTTAAAAAGTTGGAAGTACCACATTCCAATTGTGTTATATGTTATATCCTTCACTCAATCATCAGCAAATGCTACATGCTTTTACTTTCTACTAGTCCTAAATTTGACCTATTCACTCCTCCCCGTCTACCACTTTGGTCCAGACCACCTTTTTCTCTCATCTGGTTTATTATAATAGCTCCCTACCTGTCCCCTTAGGCTCTGCTTCCACTCTGTCCTCCCTACAATCTAGTCTCCCTCTAGCAATCAGGTGAGGTTTTTAAAGGGTAAATGAGATCAAGGCATTTGTCTCCCCATATCACTCAATAAAATCCAGTCCTTACAAGTATGATCTGCTTGATCTGTTTGCCAGCCAATTCCCCAACCTCGTCTCCTGTCACTCTCCCTCTGTTCCATCCACACCAGCCTCGTTTGCTGTGCCTCAGACATATCAAATGCACTCCCGTGTCAAGCCCTTTACATTTGCAGTTCCCTCTGCCCGGAACACTCTTGCAGGTATCCGCACTGATGCTCTCTCTTCATTCAGATTTCTGGTTAACTGGCCCCTTCTCATTGAGGCCTTCCTGAANACACTACCAAGCACCAGTCAGTAGAGAGAGACCCTGTGCCAGTGGCCCGGGAGCGGAGAACCAAAGCGTGCAGGCCACTGGGAAAGGAGCGAAACAAGCTCGCGGCGCCCACCAAGCCCCGAAGCAGACATCAGCGGCTAGAAATAGGCAGACACCCGCGCAGACGACCGACCCACATCCACAGCTTTCCTACGAGGCGGGCCGGCAACAGGCGGGTAGAGGACGTACCCGCCTCCCCCGGGCGTTGCTGGCTCCGCCACCGCGGCAGCCATCAAGTGTCCACTACTCCGCCCTCTCACCTCCCCAAAGCCCGGAGGCGACGCAGCAGACACTCACGCGGGCCTGGTCTCCCGGCAAGAGTGGCTGGAGACACGGCAGTGGAGAAGGCACGCAGGGTCCGGGCCCCCGGCTGCAGGGTGAACCATGCGGGGAACACGGCGGCCGCCATGGCTGCGGAGACGGCAAGCCGCGGAGGACAAGCGCAGTCGCGCGTCAAGGGGCGGGTCTGAGGCCCCAGCGCGCAGGCTCGCCCCGCCTGGCCCCGCCCCTAGGGTGTAGAAACAGGACCCACGTGGGCCTGCGAAATCAGATCCCGAGTCAAAAGTTCACCCCCACCCAAAACCGAAAAAAAGTAATGAAAAGGAAACAAAATATTTTTTTTTTTTAAATCGACGCAGTCAGTCAGACGAAGGACAATTGAAAATAATGAGCATGAGGGTTGGGGAAAATGTGGCTAACAGGGCACGTGTGGTCTGGGTGGGACCTCCTTGGCCTGCAGTCAGGCAGTTTACCCTAGGGCCCTGCCCTTTTGCAGTTGCTGCTTTTCTACACTTTTCTTGGATTAAAGAAAGTATTCAGCTAGTGCACATGATATGCTCCAGGGGGAGAGGCAGTATCCGATAGTAGTTAAAAAGGACGGCCTCTTGAGCCAGACTACTTGAGTTTAAAACTTGGCTTGGCCACGTCTACGCTGTGTGAGTCTACTCCAGTTAATACAGACAAACTTCTGGGGACAATATTGGCGTAGAGCGAACATCCTGTGTATATAGGCTGTAACTGTTTTCAATGATTTGGTTAGCTCTTGTGTAGATCTGGTTAGAATTACAAAAACTCCTTCTTAGGACCTAGAAAACAGTGGTCATTCTTTAATGAGCTCTCTTTATTTTCTACCCTAGGATGGATTAACATACAACCCTTAATAAAATCATCCTCTATTTTTTCAACCAGTATGTATAATATTTAATCAATGTACAAAATTATAACAAGAACTGGGAACAAACACAACTGACTTTTGAAAAGCATACAGCCAGTAGAGCAGAACTATGCAGGTGTCCCAGGGTATTCTACTTGTGAGCATTCAATGTGCCATGGGCATCCATCAGTATGTGAGGTGAAAAAATGGCATTATAGGGACAAATATTTGTAATAATCACCACCCTCATCTTTTCTGGCCTCTTACCATCCCATTATTGTTCCAAAGCAGAAGTATGGTGTATTCGTTTTCTAAAGCTCTTATATCAAGGTACCACAAACTGGGTGACTTATAACAACAGAAATTTATTCTCTCACAGTTCTAGAGGATAGAAGTCTAAAACCCAGGTGTTGGCAGGATTGGTGGTTCCTTCTGGAAGTTCTGAGGGGAGAATCTGTTTATGACTCTCTCCTAGATTCTGAGGGTTGTTGGCAATCCACAGCATTCCTTGGCTTGTAGACACATCATTCCAATCGCTGCCTTTATCTTCACATGGTGTTCTCCCTTCCTCTAGTTTTAAGATTAAAAGGATGGCCTTTTAGTCAGATGAATATGGGGTTTGAATCCAGGCTCTGTTTCTTTGTGATCTTAGGCAAGTCTACTTAATATCTCTGAGCTTCAATTTCAAGGAAAATAGGAACAATAATGTCTTATCCAGGACCGTTGAGATTGAGTTTATTTCAGAAGGTGCAATATAAATGGTGCCATTGGAATTAAGCTCAGCATCAATACAACAGCCACTTTTTCTCTCTCGAGTTTGTATACCAGGGGTGCCAAAAAAAAATGTATACACATAACTTGTATTCATCTTTTGTTATTGGTATATATCGAGTATTATAATTTTAATAGTTTTTTCTTTTCTTAAAATGTGCATACATTTTTTTGGCATCCTCTGTATTTTAGTACGATAAAGTGCAAGGCCTATACTGTAGAAATTTTGGGTCAAAAGTGGTGTGAATCCTTATAGACTTAGTTTATATTAAGAGAATTCTCAATTTCCGAGCAAGATGTTAAGAGACTTGATCCTCAGTGTACCTTCCTATCTATGCTTTCTGTCTTTTGTTTTATTCTCTCCCTAAGAATAAAATGGATAGATATGACTCAAATTAGAGCAGACAGAGAAACACTTCTTATTGTTTTCCCAGGCATCAAGTACAATAAAGTTCATTCTATATTAAAAGTTAAAAACTCATTTGTAGGGCTGCCAGTTAGCTCACTTGGTTAGAGCGCAGTGCTCACAACACCAAGGATGCTTGTTCGATTCCCACATGGGCCACTGAGCTGTGCCCTCCACAACTAGATTGAAACAATTACTTGACTTGGAGCTGATGAGTTCTGGAAACACACATTATTCCCCAATAAAAAAACAAAAAAAACAAAAAAAGACAACATCATTTGTAATGCTATCAAAAGGCAATATGTTTCGTGCAGTATAAAGAGTAAAGCATGTACTATCTATACTTGGAGTTACTAAGAGTTACATAATTTTTCAATTGGAAACGATCTTAAAGTGCAATCACTCATGATAAAATCTTTTCTTCAGCCTTCATGACCAAATAACCCAATATATTGTAGAAACCAAACTGGTCTCATGGGCATGTGACTTGCACTTAGAAGAGCTCTATGCTTGCTTAAATTCCCTGCTGTCCTTGTCTTGAAATTTTTAATAAATTTTGAACAAAGGGCCCCACATTTTTCTTTTGCACTGAGCCCCACAAATTATATAACCAGTCCTGTGTAGAACAATTTTAAATATTAAGGCTTTTTATAATATGTGTTTATTATATTTAAAACCTGGATTAATCCAATGATTATCAGAGATTTACTTTTAATGAAAACTAATTTCTTTATGGGGTGGCTGGTTAGCTCAGTTGGTTAGAGTGTGGTGCTGATAACACCAAGGTTGCCAGTTTGAGCCCCTCATGGGCCACTGAGCTGTGCCCTCCTTTTAAAAAAACAAAAACAAACAAAAAACCCCAAAAGTAACTTCTTTATAAAAAGTGAGTGAACAAGGTATGACTATTCACAAGCATGGTAAATAGAAAATGCAAATATCCAGGTATGTGGATGGACTTTGCAACCTAAAAAGCCATCAAAACAGTGTTGCTTAAATGTTATGGTATATACATACAATATCAACTACTACTTAGACACATGTGATAAACCCTGGTTAAACCTTAGAATTACCTCAGGGAATATTAAAATAATCATTTAGGGCCCCTCCTTCTGAGATGCTAATCAATTGGTGTAGGTGCATTTGGAGCATTGGTGTTTTTTGGCTTTTAAGTTCCCCAAGTAAATCTAATATGCAGACAGGACTGAGAACCATTGATGTCAGCCTTAAAAAGAAGTGA